ACAGTAAATGCTGGCGAGATTGTGGAGAGACTGGAACCCTTATTCACTGTTGGTGGGAGTGTAAAAGGGTGCAACCACTATGGAAGGCAATATGACGTGTTCTCAAAAAGTTGGAAATAGAAATACCATTTGACCCAGTGAGCAATTCTACTACTGGGAATATACCCTAAGGAAACCAGAATTGCTACCCAAGCAGATATATACACGCCCATGTTTATTGCTGCTTTGTTCACAATAGCAAAGAGTTGGAAATAATCCAAGTGCCCATCAGCAAACAAATGGATAGAGAAGCTGTGGTATATTCACATGATGGAATATTATGCATCACTGAAAAACAAAGAACTCATGAAATATTATACAAATGAGTGACCATGGAGGACTTTATATTGGTGAAATATCTCAGTCACAAAAAAGGCAAATAATGTATAATGCCACTGTTCTAGAACAGGACTGATATGGGGGCTGGGGGGAAACTAAGAAAAGAGGGGATAAATCATGTACACTGCATTAAAATAGATGAGGGAGAGAATTGTATAAAAGGAGCATATGATTAGGTATTATTGGCATGACGCATGACAAGAGTCCAGAATAAGAGTTGCGTAGTAAAGTGGTCCAGGTTGGGGGGGACAGTATAACAATGAAAGAACTTTTTTTCCAAAGGAAAAAGCCAACTGGGGAGAGGGGGACAGGGAGGGAAATGTGCAACAATGAATGCATGGAAATCCAAGGTCTTGATAAATGTTCATTAAAATCTAAAAAAATAAATTAATTAATTAAAAATGAACAAGATCAAGAAAAGTTAATTTCGTCATTAAAAATTTACTAATGGTCAGTAAATATGTAGAAAAGTGGCTAATCTTCTCACCTGCTGGCCATGAATGCTTTACTGGATTCGATTCACTGGAATGAGTCTTAGAACTCAGAAAGCCCTGTGCATCTAATTTCAATAAAAAGCATACCACCAAACAGACTTATTTATAGGGCAAGGTCTGGAGGATTTCCAGCATGTGATTTCCAGTCCCAGAAGCCGCACCCCCGCTTCCATGTGCATACAGTATCTTTCACCAGCCGGAAGCCATGGCACTTCCGTGTCCAGGGCCTTCACTGGGGCCTTGGTCCACTGGGTTGAATGAGCCTTGCCCCTTCCATCCTTTCCCCTTGTCCCAGGTTGACAGGGTTGACCCACAAGGTGGGTCTTCTGACTAGGCCCGCCTCAGTCACCTAGAAAAACTCCTAGGTCTGGTGTAGAGACCTCCTCACCGATAACTTCACTCCCTGGGTGAATTGAGATTTCAGGGTTATCCCTCAGGAACCAAGGCCAGAGACCAGGTTCTCTGAGTAGGATTAATCTCGTACCATCCTCATTATGAAAATGATACATATTAAAAGAGGAAATTTTTTGCCTATCAGATGGGCAAAAAATAAAGAATAATATGCATTAAGGTTGTGGGAAAGTAGATTATTTGACACATAATAGATAGGAATATAAATAGGTACACTTTTCTGAGGCCAAGTTGTTGTAGTAGTTATCAGAGTTAAAAATGCACATACTTTTTGACAGAATTTCTGTTTCTAGTAATCTGTTCCCCTTATGCTAATGGCCTGTTCACATCCTTGTCCTGTATGGCTGAAATTCACAGATTATTTTTATTAGTGAATTTCTAAATATAAAATAATTCATTGTTTCTTGAGCCTTATTTGCTTTTCCCAGGTGATCGCCCATCCAAGTATTAATTAGGCTCAATCCTGCTTAGCTGATGTGATCAGACCTGTTTAGGGTGGTATGGCTGTAGACCATAATCTGAGGAGGACTTGAAGTGCTTGCTGCAGAAGGTCAAGGACTGCAGTCTTCAATATGGTATGCATCTCATTATGAAGAAAACAAAATTCTTACTCTTACCACCAGGCCAGTTGGCAGGACCATGATAGATGGAGAAGAGTTTGATGTTGTTAACAATTACTCTTGCTTGGATACACAATCTTGGCACCAGAAGTCAGGAAATCAAAAGACAAGTTGCTTTAGGAAAGTCTGCTGTCAAGGACCTCTCAAGAGTGCTAAGGAGCAATGATGTCAGTCAAGAGACTAAGGTGCACGTTATCCAGGCCATGGTCTTCTCAGTTACTTGCTATGCAGCTGAGAGCTGGACAGTGACAAAGGATGACAGAAGAAAAATCAATGCCTTTGAGTTGTGCTGGAGAAGAGTATTGAACGAACATACCTTAGATTTCCAAGAGAGGATGAAGCCAGGTTACTTCCTGGAGGCAAGGATTTTGCAATTCTGTCTCACCTACTTCAAGCATATTGGTCAGAAGGGACCAATCCTTGGAGAAACACATGCATGGAAGTGTAGGGATCAGCTCAGGAGAAGACGACCTGAATGAGATGAAGTGACACAGTGCATATGGCAGTGGGGGCAGGTAAGTTCGAGACTGAGATTGGCTCAAGACAGGGCAGGATTCAAAGTTCATAGGGTCACTATGAGTCATAGCTTGACAGCACGTAACACAACATTTGCTTATCTCTTTTAACGATAGATGGTTCCTTTTAAAAACTATACAGGTATTTACGGGTATATTTTTAAATTCGTTCACTTCATAAATTTTTCTAGTAGCTTATAAGCTTTGACAATTTCATAGATACTTAATTTTAGTTCCTTCTGTTTTTTTCTGTTTGTCTTTATAATATTTGGGGGACATCAGACTGCTGATAAGATATTCCAGCAGTGTTTATTGAAAAACCTTCTCTTCCTGTCCTTCTAATGCTAAAACACTTCATGTATTATTCAGCTCAGTGGCACAGGAGAGACTGCCCATCTTTCTCCCTTGGAGCCACTGATAGATCTAAACTGCCTGATTTTATATATTAGGATTCAATTTTGTCTATACTGCAGTGACTTGCCATTTCTGCTGCTAATTTCACAGTATTTTAAATAGTACTATTGCTGCTGATTTTTTTTTTAAAAGAAAAATAAAATAATCTTAATTTGATGGCTGTGTGGGGTGAAGGAAATGGGAAGGATATTTTGTGAAAAACAGTACATTCAAACTTTGTAAATAAATCAGTAAAGTAAAAAAAAATCTAAAAAACAAAAACATTTTCTTGTTTGTTTATTGCTGTTGTTGTGTATGGTCAAGTTGGAACTGTCCCTTACCTGACCCTCTGACGGACTTTTAGAGGCTATTAAGCGAACACAAGATTGCCCATCATTCTCCTGTGGAGCAGCTGGTGGTTTCGAACCATGTGCCTTTTGGATTGTAGCGCAGCTTCTTACCACTAGGCCACTAGAGGTCCCTTCTTTATTACTGATGAAATATGTAATTTTTCAGGTTCCAAAAGGTCTGGTAGGATTTTTTTTTTAATTCCTTACAGTACACATTTTTTAAAATATTTGACACATTTACAATATTTCCGTTTCCTGCACTATATTGTGTCACAGGGACCCTGTGGTTCATATTCAGCTTGATGGCACCTAATAACAGCAGTGTTGTTGTAATGGATCTTTGCATTGTAGCCCTTAGAGAACCGTGCTCTTAACTCAAAGACCACACCTCTGACTGTTCAAATCCACCAGTGGTTCCCAGGGAGAAAGATAGTTTCCTGTTTGATTTACCCAGACTCCCTGCTACTGAGTCAGAACCAACTCATCACTGATTGATTGTCCAGAGGTTCAGGGCTGTGACGGGTGTGGGAGAGCTCACCTGATGCTTTACAGTCTTGGAAGGCCAATGGAGGGGTAGCTCAGAGTCAGTTCTGACTTGAAGGCAGTGACTTGAGAGTGTCATGGTGTGTTTGCCTTGTCATAATCACTCCTGTACATTTTTGATAGCTTTCGCCATATCATCCGGAAACCTTTATAACTAACGTGTGGTGTAAGTCTTCAGATTTGTATCACCTCTTAAAGTAATTCATCCAAATGAAGGCTGTCTCTGTATACAGTCCCCAAACATCTAAGCACCATAGCCCTAAGCTGAGGTCTACAGGGAGTACACAACACCATCTCAAAACCAAATTGTTCTGCAAAATAAAGTGATTGTTCTAGTGTCAGTGTGGTGGGAATGAGGGCCCAGAGTCAGTTCAGGAAGGAGGGAACTGGTGGAACACTTCATTGGCCCTCATGATGGTCATTGACACAAGTGCATCGTCTTTGAAAAAGCAGAAAAAAACAATGAGAAAGAGTTCCCAATTGAGGCCTAGAAACTTGTGGCTTACTGGGAAATGTGACATGACTGGAAACTTCAGTGTCCAGGGGCGGGGTGGGTGGCTTGGAGGCCGTGCGCCACAAAGGCTTCGGACCCTTGCCTGGTGCCGGAGCCCTTCTCTGTTGCTTGTTTGTAAGTCAGCTTCATGTACTTTCAGAAATTCCTCTGAATCTCACTTGTCCCCTCTGGTAAATGGAAATGATATTTACCTCTGTTTCCATGAGATCAAATCTTTGTATTAATACTGCCTGTCACAGTATTAGAGATATGGTGAGTGGCGGCAGATAGGAAGATTGTGTATCAGTCCTGGATTCAGAAGGCCCTGCTTGTCACGCCAGGGCCTGACACAGCCTCCCTGCTGGGCCTTAATTACTGTCTTGGTAAATGTTGTTTTTTGTCCCAAGTGTTCCCCTTTCATTATCATTGACATCAAGTTGCTTTTTTGAGCCAAATAATATACTCTACTAAACGGAGCATTAGCGAGGATTACAGGATGTCTCTCAGGTTGAAAATGTAGATTTTTTTTTTTATAAGAAATAAAAAGGATCTCTGAGTCCTCCCTACAGGGTTCTCACCGAAGACATGTCTCCTTGGGTGTAGTTCTATCAGGAATTGATTATATTTAAGCTGCTTTCTCTTTTTTCTCTCATTTGCTCCCCCGCCTCCTTTCTTTCTCTCTCTCTGCTTTTTAACTGAGAACATCATGAACTCGCTCATTTTCCTGCTTTTGGTTGTTCTGTAAGTCAGTTGAGTGGTAGTGAACTCGTCATTCTTACCATTTCCTTGTCTGTCTCTTGATGAGCAGGAAGAAGATGAGCCTGAAGTCTGAACGCCGAGGAATTCATGTGGACCAGTCGGAGCTTCTGTGCAAGAAAGGATGTGGTTACTACGGCAACTCTGCTTGGCAGGGCTTCTGCTCCAAGTGCTGGCGGGAGGAGTACCACAGAGCCCGGCAAAAGCAGATTCAGGAGGACTGGGAACTGGCAGAGCGGTAAACAGACTTGACTTGGGGCCTTGGTTGTGTCATTGTCAGAATGCATTTTTGTCTCTTGAGCCATCCTGGTGGTCTGCTGTGTTGGCATATTGTACTGCTAACCCAAAGGCTGGTGGTTCAGGTCTACCAGTGGCTCCCTGGGAGAAGGATGGACAGTGTCCTCCTGTAAAGATTTTTCAGCCTCAGGAAGCCTTGCTAGAAGGTTGCCGATAGTTGGAACCAGATCAGTAGTAGTGGGTTAGTCGGGGGCTGTTTATGATTCAGCTTAGCATTTGTTGTTGTTAGATGCCGTTGAGGCCGTTGCATACGCCAGAAGGAATCCTGCCCAGTCCTACTCTATCCTCCCAGCCCTCTCCTGTATAGCCCACTGTCACAGTCACTGTGTCAGTCCAGCTTGTTTAGGGTCTTCCAAGAGTCATGTCCTCCGCCGACTGACTGCTCTTGAACACGTGCCCAAAGGATGTGCGGTGAAGTCCCACTGCAAATCTTTGCTTCTAAGGAACACTCTGGCTGTACTTCTTCCTACGTAGATTTCTTTATTCTTCCTGCAGTCCATGGTGTTTTCAGGGTTCTATGCCAGCACCACAATTCAAAGATATCAGCTGTTTTTTTTTTATTTCCTTATGCATTGTTCAGCATTCACAGGCACGTATAGGAGTAATGAAATGTGAATGACATTAACCCTTGGCTTGAGCATTTACGAAACTAAGACTGTCTCAACAGAAAGAGAAGCAAACAACCTAACGGATTTTGTTAGTTGTGATTTTGTGTGTCTTTTAAATCTAGGCGTCTCGATGAATGACTGCTTTGCTAGCTGTTGTGGTGAAGTCAGAGAATTATAAAGCACAACTGTGTTCAGTGATTTGTTAGGGATCAGTGATGGTTCAGTGGTAGATTCCATGCAGTACTTCCTAGGTCTGTTCTAATGATTGCCTCCTTGTCCAAGAATAGGTTTCACATAAGCATAATCAAGTGTTCTGGGATTCCCATTCTTCTCAAGGTTAGCCACAATTTGTTGTGATCCACACAGTCAAATGCTTTTGCATAGACAGTGAATAACAGATAGATATCCCTCTGGTACTCTATGTTTTCAACCAAGATCCATCTAACATTGGCTATAATATCCCATGGCTTCTTCTAAATCCAGCCTCCACCTCCGGCCATTCTCTGTTGATGTGCTGGTCCAGTCCTTTTTGGATCATTTTCAGCAGGATCTTGCTTTGCATATGATATTATGATATTAATTATATTGTTTGATAATTTCTGTACTCTATTGGATCACCTTTTGGGTGAACAGAATATTAAATAATCCAGGAATCAGTAAAGGAAGATTGAAGGAGTATACAGAGTCACTGTACCAGAAAGAATTGGCTGACACAGAAGAATTTCATGAAAGAAAATATGTTCAAGAGCCTGTGGTGATGAAGGAAGAAGTGCAAGCTGTTCTGAAGAAATTGTCAAAAAAAACAAGGCCTAGGAATTGACAGCATAGCAACTGACATGTTTCAGTGAACAGATGCTCACCAAGTTGCGCCAAGAAATCTGGAGGACAATCACTTGGCCAGCTGACTGGAAGAGAGCCATGTTTGTTCCCATTCCAAAGAAAGGTGACCAGACAGCGTGTGGAAATTACCGGACTCTGATCATTGATCGTTTAACAAAGATGGCAGAGACCCAAGTGTGAACTCCTTGTTCCCACATGCTGGGACTTTATTACCTCTCTCTTCAGCCTCTGTAATAGAGCCCTGCTGGCTGGCATGATGGTTATGTTCTCCACAGCTAACTGAAAGACTGGTGGTTTGAATCCACTCAGTGACTCCAGTAAAAAAGGCATGATGATCTTGTTCTGAAAGATGCAACCTAGGAAACTGTGAGACAGTCTCCTCTGTCACATGGGGTCCCCTTGGGTAAAAAAAAAAATTGGTGGCACCTAACAATAGGCGTAAACCTCTGTCATGGACTAGGTACTGCCCTGCCCTAGTCTCCCTTCCCCCCACGTTCTCACAGCTCCCCACGTTGTCCATCTAAAACACAGTCTGATCACAATGGGTCTCTTGGGCTGAAACGTTTGGTTCCCTGCAGCCCCATGATGAAGCCCAGAGTCCCAGTGGGCTGAGCTGGCAGCTGGCTCTCCTCTGGTGCCTCCCTGTGTGACAGCATCGTTGCGCAGCACACCAGCTGCACAGTGGCTCTGTCGGCCTTGGCACAGCCGACCTGGCCTTCCCTCTTCCTACAGTTCTCTTTCACTCGGTTTAAGTTGTGTGTCATTGAGTGAATTTAGGTAGACGTGTAGTGACCCCATGTGACCGTAAAACTGCCCTGGAGGGTTTTCTTGGCTAACATCTGGGGAACAAATTGCCAGTGGGTGAGTTTGAATCTCTAACCTTTTGGTTGGGAGTACAGGCTTAATTGTTGTACCACCACTAGGGCTCCTCAGCCGTAGCCCCACGTCACCACTGTGGAACCTTCCCAGACTCCTCCAGTGTCTTCATTGCTCTCTTGTGTATCATCCCAGACTTGGTTTTACCCTGTGCTGTAGAAGAAAGTGTAGCAGTGTGTTGTAATTGTTAAGGTACTGGATCTTTCTGCCTTCCAATGCTGAGCTTATTAGGGAAAAGAACCAGGCTTTATTTCTTCCATGAAATCCTTGTACAGTTGCTGAATGAGCGTGACCCATGTGGAATGTCCCTTTGAAGTCTGTGGTAACTCAAGGGATGCTTTAACACTGTAGCTACTATCTGTTGGAGACATCAGGCCTATTTGATATATTTAACTTTTAGTTATAAACTTTTTAGAGACTTCAATCTGTTGAATAATAGCCTGTAGATACAAGAACAAAATTTAGCAAGTCTCCACTCATTCCTAATCTTCTCTTGGATTTCAGACTCCAGCGGGAAGAGGAGGAGGCCTTTGCCAGCAGTCAGAGCAGCCAGGGGGCCCAGTCCCTCACCTTCTCCAAGTTTGAAGAAAAGAAGACCAATGAGAAGACCCGCAAGGTTACCACAGTGAAGAAGTTCTTCAGTGCTTCCTCCAGGGTCGGGTCAAAGAAGGGTAATTTTCCAATGCTCTTGCTTCTTGTGTGCGAGTGAGGTCCAGACCAGCTCTGTGGGCTCCGTGCGTCTCGTTCCTATAAGTTTGCAGAAAGTACCAGCCCAGACTGCAGATGGAATCCGAGGCTCAGGTGGTATCTTAAGCCAGAAAGTCTTTGTTGAAGATTGTGTTCTCAGGGCATTTTAATGGGAGGATTGAGAGAAGCCATGGAGTTTTGTTTACCAAATGTATTCCCACCCCTATGGCTGCCATTCTGGTTTTGGTTTCTTTATGCCTTTGATTTTTCAGCCCAGGTTTGTTCTCTATAACATCCCTGTTATCCACGGTTTCGAGTTCGGCACCTCTGACAATAGTGAGCTGAGCTGCAGACCGGCAGGCCACACCTCTCCCCTGGTTAGAAGCCATCAGCGGCTCCACAGAAGAAAGATGGGCAGTCTCCTCCCTTACAACTTATAGCCTTGGAGACCTGATGGGAGGTTGCTTTAAGATGGAACCAACCCAGTAGCAGAGAGCTTTTGAGTTCAAGCTATACTATAAAGGCCCTATTGGTGCAGTGGTTAAAGTGCTTGGCTGCTAACCAGAAGGTTGCCAGTTTGAACCCACTAGCCACTCCATAGAAGAAAGATGTGGAAGTGTGCTTCTAATAAAGATTTTCGACCTCGGAAATCTGAGACCCTCCTCTGCCCTAGAGTGTTGCTAGGACGCCAGTGAGTTTGGGTTTTGTTTGGGTTTCTTTTTCATTCATGCTGTTGTTAAATCCCATCTAGTCAACTCTGACTCATATAGTAAAGCAAAAAACCTGCGTAACACAAAAGGAAGTCGTGTGCCATCCTCATGGTCTCTGCTGGGCGTGAGCCTGTTGTCGCAGTCCCTGGGTCAGTCCACGTCCGTGAGGGTCTTCCTCTCCTTTCCTGGCCCTTCACTTTTCCAAGCGTGACGTCCTTTTTCAGGGACTAACCCCTCTTAACAGCATGACCCCAAGTGAGTGAGATGTCCAGAGTAGGGGATACACAGAAAAAGGCTAGTGAGAAGAGTTGCTCAACTTGAAGGATGTCTTCAGAATCACTGAACTATGCATGTCCAAACGGCTGACTCATGTGTTCTGTTGTGCATATTTTGACTAGAATTTAAAAAAAACACAACACATAGCTGTGACAAAGAACCACATAGATCAAATTGACATGAGCAGCTCCAAAGAGAATACCCTTTGGGGTCAGGTGTTCATGTGAATGGGGGAGGAACCAGTGAGAAGAGGATAGTTGCACAATCTAAAGAATCCATGTCACTTAACTGTGCTGCCGGAGAGGTGCCCTAAGCAAGACTCCTCTTCCTCCATCCCTGCTACTTGCAGAGTTTTTTTGGTTTCTGTATTAATTCCTGCTTTTGTAAAAGTGAGACCATGCAGTATTTGTCCTTTTGTGATGATACCTTGGGCGGCTCAGCATGTTTGCAGGGTTCATCTGCCTTGTGGCACATCATTTCTCCTTGTTGTTAAATAATACTCCGTTTTGTGCACAGATTTTTATTTATCCATTCATCTCCCAACATTTTGGTTGTTTCCACCTTTTGGCTCCAGTGAGCACAGTGTGTGTGTGTGTGTGTGTGTGGCAGATGCTCTTTCCTGGGCATGCGAAACCACAGTTCAGCTCTGAAACTTCAGTGGGTACTTTTGGTTTAAGATTAAGAAATTACCTCAGGGCAGTAGTTTCCGCCTCCTTGGCTCCAGAATGTCAGGAGATTCTTCTGTAAAATCTTGAGATCAAATGATCGATGTTGATAGCCAGGCGCCATCCAGCTCTCCTGGTCTCATGGTGAAGCAGGCAGTTAGCCAAGCGCTTCGTGCCTCTCCTTCCTCCATTGCCCAGGCAAAGAGAAGGTTGCGTATTGGATGACCCTTTACTGGCTTCTATGACCCCAGGCTCTAGTACAGACCAGCAGATAAAAAAAGCACCCAATAGACCATTTCACTTTGATGTCCCTTTTGAAACCATGACAGTAAAGCTCCAAATCAGAGAATCAGATCTCATGAGGCTCTTAGTTGTAAGCAGCCCCAGCAAATACTCTTTTTGTCGTTGGTGTTGTAAATATATCACACAGCTTTTGCCAATTCTTTTTACATGTATGCAGTCTGTGGACATCCACGATAGTAGTCAGATGTACAGCCCTGCCCTTAATCAGTGTGATTTTTCCATTACTGTTAACCCTTCTTTTCCCTCTCTCTCTCAACCCTAGTGAGCAAGCACTAGAAACCTTCAGTCCCTGTGTATTTACCCTTCGGATCGTCTTACGTCAGTGAAGTCGCCGGCTAGTTGTGGTTGACTGACTTCACTCAGGTGATGTCTTCCAGCTCCGTCCCACTGCAGCAGGCAGGGCTTCGTGTCTTCTGTTGGCTGAGTAGTAGCCCATCGTGTGCGCACCGCATTTTGTTCATCCAGCCCTCAGCCGATGGGCGTTTAGCTTGTCCCTTTTGGGGCCGTTGTGAGTACTGCTGCAATGAACACTGGTGTGCAAGCCTCTTTTTTGAGTCTCTACTGGCAAAGCTTTTGGGTTTACACCTAGGAGTGGACTTCCTGGGTCTTGTAGTAGTTTTGTTTTTCGGTTTTTGGAGAACCACCACGTTGTGTTCCACAGCGTCTGTACCTGTCTGCATTCTCACCAACGTGGACTAGAGTTTGTTTTGGTATCTCTGCATCCGAGCCAACACTTCTTGTTGTCATTTTTTATCTTTGCCTGCCTAGTGGGCGTCTCCTTGTGGTTCTGATTGAATGGCTAACTTGGATTTTGATGGCTAATGAAGGAAGCTTGGTGGTGTGGTGGTTAAAGTGCTCAGCTGCCCGCCATCGTGTGTGTGAAGGATGAGGTAGTCTGCGTCCGTGCAGGTTTGCGGTGCTGTGACCGTGACCCTCTGCTCCAGGGGCTGCTTTGGGTCAGAACTGACTTGACAGCAGCGGGCACGTTGCTTTGACGGCTCGTGAAGGCGAGCATCTTTGCATGTGTCTGGTGGCCATGCCATTGCTCTCTTTGGGAAAGTGTCTTTTCGAAGTCTTTATCCATTTTATTATTGTATTAACTGATCTTTTTTTGTTGTTGTCAAAGTTTTATTTATATTTTGGTTGTTAGATTCTTGTTGGAGATAAGATTTCCATCCAAAGATATTCTCCTAATAACTTGTATTTTTACCTTTTGTGGTAAAGTGTTTCAGTGAGCAAACATTTTACATTTTTATGAGGTCCCTCGTGTATTTGTTTTGTCTTTTGCCATTTAGGCTTTGGCTGTTATATTAGATGTGCTGTTTTTAAAAGCTGGGCCTGACTGTGTTGGTGCTGATTGTTCTTCTGAGAACGTTGATGTTTCAGCGTACATGTTTAGGTCCTTAGTCCATTCTGAACTTGGTTTAGTGTGTGGTGTGAGGCAAGGGCCCAGTTTCCGTTTTTCTGCGTGTGGAAAGCTAATTTCCTCGGCGCCGCTTATTGAGAGACCCTTCCTTCCCCACTAAGTGGAAGCTGCACTCTTGTTAGGAACCAGCTGACTGTGGATGTGTGGGTCAAAGCGTTGCCTCTTGAGTCTCAGCACATTTCCTGCCAGCTCTGCCATCGTTTAGCAGCTCTGTGACCTTGGGTTTGCTAATCTTGCTAAGCCTGTCCGCTCCTGGAGATACTAACACCTCCCGTAGGCATGTGGTGCGGATTAAGTGGATTGATCCACGCAAAACATTCAGCAGAGGCTCTGACACACATAGAAAATGGCCACAGAGTGTTACCTGTTGCCATTACGTTGATTCCAGTCTGAAGTGATCACGTAGGACAGAGCAGAACTGCCCTATGACATTCAAGGCTGTGATCTTTATGGAGGTGGACTGCTTCAGGTAGCCAAGCCTTATCACTATGCCACCAGGGCACCTTCCGATAATGTTTTTCTCTTTCTTTTTCTTTTTTTTAAAGATTCTGTCAGAGCAAGAACACTTTGTTTTGGATTTCTTCCCTCCCTTCCCACCCCCTCCTTCCTACTCCCAATTCTTCGCTATTTTAAAATGCAGATGGCCTTCCTGGTTGAAGAAGCTTTGCTTTCTGGAAAGAAGCTAAAAGCTTTTCAACGAAGCCACTTATTTCTTCTTAGTTTAAATTCCATTACCTGCTTTGGGAAAATGTTCTGAAACTTAAGGATGATACTACAGTAAACAGTTAAATAGTAGCTACTTACTAATCAGTTTTTGCTCCCTAGCCGGAGTGGACTCCTAAGTAACACTCCAGCAGGCTTTCCAAGGCTGCGAATTGCATGTAAGATTGCCTTCCTTTCTCCTGGGAAGCCACTGTGGGTTTGAACTTGAGAGAGGCATTGCCTTTGGCTTAGCGGCACAAGTCGCTATAAACTACATCACCAGGGCTCTCTAGGTGAAAATATAAAGCCACTTGGTCTGTCTCATTTTATAGATGAGAGTATGGAAGCCAAGAAAGGTTAACTACTACGACTGATTCCATATTTTAGGTCTCCTTACTCCACGTTAAATTTTTTTCCTGTTGTATCCTTTCACCTCAAATATGTATATAATTGAGAAATTTGGGGGTGTGTGTGCCCATAAATCATATCCTTTGATCTTCTAGAACATGTGTGTTATGGGAAGAAAACTTTTAGTTTAGCATGTTGAAACTTAAAGGAAACAGCTCTAAGGGATTTTTCCCCCCCACGATTTATGCACAGAGCAGTTGCTTTTTTTTATGCACAGAGCAGTTGTTGGTTTTTTTTTCTTCTCATACTTACAGATTTGTGCTCCAGATCTTTTGCTCTGTGGGTATTTGGGTTGACTTGTTTAGTCTGTGGAGAGCTTCTAGGGTAAAGACCTCAGAGACTATTGGAAAACTTGACCTTTATCTTACTGGTTTCAGATATGAGTTTACCGGATGGACTTTGTGTTGCAGACCGGATTATTTGTGGGTCATTGTTTGTGGAGCAGATTCACTTGGACCTAGTGCAATTTTGCTTTCCTGGGTCTAGAACAGAAA